GCCTCCTTCAGAGCTCAAAAAATTCTTGGGGCAAGTCACAAGGACACTAGCTTGAAGGGTTTTCACTGGCCAAATGTGGGACATTTTGAGCACAAAGTAATAGAGACAGCATCACATTTTAAATCATTGGAAAATTAGGATATTCTAAACCCATATTGATAATAGATAAGTAGATACAGAGAGACATACAGATGAGAAAGCTTTTGCTTATGTAGAATACTGACTGGGAATATGACAAACATGCTGGAAAAGTATTACACAGCCATCATAGTAAATGTAGATTCAGACCAAAAACATCATCAATAGGTACTAAATCTCAGAGGAAATTTTGATGAGAAAGAGTCCATTTGAATGGTCAAAAAGTGTATGCCAATATACTTTTATTAGTTTCAAGGGGGGAAAGCCATAGTTATGTAATGGAAAAATCTGACATCTTGACAAGGTAACCAAAATTCATAATAGTGACTATCTAGTAGGTCTCTAATGTGATACCTAGAGAAGGACACAACATCGTTCATGTAGGACTCAGTCCAGAAATGCATAGTCTGAGTGTAATCATAAGAAAATGTCAGCAAAACCCCACATGCGGAACTTGCTACCAAAACTAGAGTGGGGGAATGAACTCCATTCTTCAAAAAATGGCAATATCATAAAGGAAAGCAACGGTGAAGGAATAAAGGAGACTATCGAGGCACGATAATTTAAGGCATTCTCTGACATTAGACTGGACCCTGTGTTGTCATTGGGGGATGGTATAATGGCCACTGTTGGTGCAGCTAACAATCTTGAAGCACAATGAAAAGGGTTATTACTAATATAAAATCCACGGAAGTTGATAGCTATGTTCTGATTGTGTAAGCGTTTTAATTCTTCACACTAGAGTATTTAGGGGTAAAAGGCCATGATCGATGTAACTTATCCTTAAATGGTTCAGGAGAAAAGCGTGTGTGTGTGTGTGTGTGTGTGTGTGTGTGTGTGTGTGTGTAATAGTATGTTTGTTCCTACTGTGGCTTCGCTGGGAGGAAAGAGATTCCAACTCCACATCTGCCCAAGGATGACACGACTGAGGAATTTTCTGTTGTTGTTGCTGTTAAGCGCCATTCAGGCAATTCCAACCCATAGTAACCTTACACACACAGAACAAAACACTGCCTAGTCCTGTGCCATCCTCACCATTGTGTCTAGGTTTGGAGTCAATTGCTGCAGCAACTGTATCAGTCCATCTCCTCGAGGGGGTTCCTCCTTTGTGCTGTCCCTCTATTTTCCCAAGCATGATGTCCTCCAGGATTGGTCTCTCCTGGTAACGTATCCAAAGGATGTAAGACAAAGTCACCATCCTTGCCTCTAAGGTTGTTCTTCTTTTTTATTTATTTATTTATTTATTAAACATTTTATTAGGGGCTCATACAACTGTTATCGCAATCCATA